AAAAAATATTTCATTCCTAGAACATTAACAGCTACAAGCTTTTTAAACTTTAAACTAAAGCTTTAATATATATTTATGGCCGTACTTGAGCATAAATTGTATAATTTTATGCAGCAATACGGCTATACGCCTACAAACGGCGGTATTTAATCGAAAATATTACTTTTGGCTTGGAAATAGCACTAAATTATACTGTTTGCTATGACTTTGGAAATGCAATTTAAGATAAATTTGAGACTGATAATTAATTTTTACAAGTTAGCTTGCGAACCGCATGCCTGCTATTGAAAGTTATTTTTCATAGAATAAATTACTTAATGTATTTTTTGTCCATTAGACCAATTAAAGTTGAATTTATTTTTAATGGTTTTGAATTTACCACCAAAACGCTCGTTTCGATAACGCCTACTATGTGACGTCAACTTTGTGTATGCTATGTAATCATCTGAAGGTCAAATTATTAACTTTTTTTTACGTTCGGGATAAATTTATAGTATAATACTTACACAAAATTTTTGATGTTTCGAAATTCTGAAGCGCAGAAATCAGGATTAATAGCGAAGAAATTTGCAAAATATTATTAATATAAGTAGTTTTCAAAATTTTGGAAAATACCCTATTGCCTGACAGTTATTACTTTACAACACTAATACAGAAGATTAGTGGGATGGAGAAATGGAAGGAAAGAAGAAACCTTCAAAACGGCTCTCTGGGCTCTCTCAAGACTAAATACTATAGTTTTAAATGTACCACCCCAAGATGTAATGCAGTAAGTTAGTATAGACTGACATAATGCAGAGTAAAATTGTTTTATTGATTTTCAATAACCTGCAATAAGGCACAGTTTTTTAAAAACAAATATTAATTTACGGACTCTGTTGCTCAGTACATTAATAAGCGACCTAAATGAGAGAGTTTCGAATGATTACACCGAGATATTTAATTTGATTTATACTATCGACAACTGGACACTGAATCTGGTAATTGGTAGGGTCTTCACAAAAATGAACATACAATGAAAATTCAAAAAAAAAAATCAAAATTCAATATCGTTTATTCAGTCTAGGCTGTTACAAGCACTTGTGAATGTCGAAAAGCTACGCCATCGGTTCGCAAATCTACGGCGGGAGAGCTTGTACTGAGAAGAACCGGCAAGAAACTCAGCAAGGGCTGCTTTTTTCTCCCTGTTTTATTTCATACAGTGTCGTCCAATTGAAAGTTGACATCAAACTTGCAAACATGTGTTGAGGTCAACTTCCATCACATAATGTCAAATATGTACAATAGACAATCAACGAATTTACTAACAATAAGTGCAAAGATAAGTCCCAAAATAGCAAGAAACAATTTTCAAAACAAAATGAACAAGTATATGAAAGGGAGTAAGTGCACGGTTCTCTTCAAAACTCTTTCTAAATCTACAGGTAAAATTACAACCAGGCCGTTTTATCATTCAAATATTGATTGACAGTATAATATCCTTTCTTAAGTAAACAATTCTTAATGTGTATTTTAAATTTATGAGGAGGCAAATCAAGGATATCAATAGGAATCTTATTATAGAAATGTATACCTTGACCCATAAATGATTTATGAACCTTCTGTAACCTGTAATTTGGTATCTTATCTATTAAATTAAGTCGCGTAACTTTAAGCTAAAATCCTGTGTACTGTTTGTTTATCGTTGGCTCTTTATTCGCACGATGAAGTAAAAGGTTGTGGCATGGTTATCACCGTTTTCTATTGGACAAATCATATCATATTTGTGCTATTACTAAAGTGGGTACATAAAAAAAAAAATATTTGTAATATTAGTTGACGTGCCTGGTATGCAGTTCATAACATATTTATCATTTTAGTAGGTTTATGTCGACGTACGTAAAGTATTTCTTACATAAAAGCTTTAGCTTAATTAATTACGCAATAAAACTTCAAATGTACTACAAAATTAACTATTCAAATTACTCTATGAAATTACCTTAGTTACTAATAGAACAAAAGCAATTTAACTTTTAAAAGATCTGTAGCGATTGTAATTCAAAACTTTTAAATTGAAATGTTCAGTAGATGTTTGATAAACATCTTTGTTTTCAACGTTAATATTATATTATTCAAATAAAAGGAAAATTTGATAAAATAATATGAAGAAAGCACACAGTTGCGATGGCGGCCGAAAGCAATGAAATTAGAGAAATACGTTATCTTGTAAAATGAACTTCGACGTCCTTATTTTAAAGATAATTTACATTTTTTCTCATTCAGTAGACAACTTGATTAAATCATCAATTGGACATTATGAGAAAAGCATATAATTTATGAAGATCTGTTCAGAAGTTTGAGAATCATCAGAACATTTCCCATTTGAGAAAAGGGAAAATAAGTAAGAACTTATTTCACAGTAACTATAAATTTAAAACTTTTACTTTGGAGGTATTTTAAAGACATGTTGCTTAAGGTGATGATACAGCATCAAGTAGTCTGCAGGACACAAGTTGACACAACGCCTTAGCAACTCAGTGCAGAAGTTGTGTGGTTGGTGTCATAAGAATGATCTCAATGAATAAATTTATAATCGCAGCGCAAGAACAGGTTAAATTTTAACTAAATTGAATCTGTGAAAGTTTTTGCGTTTGTGGAAGTTGAATTATTCTTTGCAGTTCATTTTTTCATAGATCTCTTTTCATAATTATATGCTCAACTTACTAAACTAGAACGCAAAAACAATGTCCAACTAATAAAATCACCTCAGGTGCTGAATACCTACAACTTTTAATGCTGGCCACAAAGAGTTTCTTGAATTCGAATTGCGAATTGTTCATGAAAATAAAAATGTATACTATTTAGAATTTTACTCATTTTTAAATATGGAGTGGACGCCTTAAGAAGACCATGTTGCAGTAATTGCGTTGCATCGTTGCGGTTACGCGCCAATTCAAATTTTTGACTTACTGAAAATTTTGAATATAACCAAGAGATTCGTTTATCGTACCATCAAACGATACAGTGAAGACTCTAGTGTAGATGACAGGTCAAGAAGTGGTCGCCCTCGGTCTGTTAGGACTCCAGCAGTGATAAAAGCTGTGAAGGCGCGAATTCAAAGAAATCCCAAACGTAAGCAGAAACTGTTAGCCCTTCAGATGGGGTTAACCTTACCTTGACCCATAAATGATTTATGAACCTTCTGTAACCTGTAATTTGGTATCTTGAGTTTTGGTATTTTTATTCCTTGTATTAAAAGAATGTATGTCACTGTGTTTGAGATTATAGTTAATATTGCTTCGAACAAAAAGTATGCAATTATAAATGAATTGTGAAGCAACAGTCAAAATCTCGATTTCTTTAAATTTTTCTGTAAGAGATGTTCTAGAACTAAGTTGATAAATAGCCCTTATAGCTCTTTTTTGCAAGATAAATATAGTTTCAATATCGGCTGCTGATCCCTAGAGAATAATACCATAGGATACAATACTATGAAAGTAACTAAAGTATACAGTTCTAGCAGTAGCTACATCAGTAGGTTCTGCTTATTGGAGCAGTCATGGCTTTGCGCATATTAAATCTGATATATTTAGTTTTTTCGGAGTTAAATGTAAGTAGATGCTGCTGTAGCCAGCTGTTTACAATGTTGAAGCCGTTTTGGGGACATTTGTAAACTTCTACCTCAGAACTTGCAGAAGTAAGAAATTATTCTGCCACTTTCCAGTTTCAGATTACACAGGTCATTTCTGTACACCAAAAATAGAGTAGGGCCTAAAATACTTCCCTGAGGAACCCCATAACAGTTGTTGTCTGGATCTGAACTAATAACATTACCTATTTTTACACATTGAGTGCGTTCGCAAAGATAATTTTCAAATAATTTAAGCTGGGTGCCTCTTATACCCAAAGGTTCTAGCTTACGCAACAAGATGGGTACGGAAACTGCATCAAATGCTTTTGCTAATATACCTATTGTCATATTACAATGAGTTATTCTTATTGAAATACTGCGCCTGCGGGCAAAATAATGAATACTCAGTGCATTATTTCAATAATTAATTTATGAGTAGGTACGCCGTTAATGGAGTAAACTGAGTGAGTTTTTACCTTACATGTTCACATTCACATTAAAGTGCTATATGATGACGCAAGGCAACAACTGTAGTGCATTCGTCTTCGTAACGCTGTAGTACTCTTAAAATCCATAATCGATGTATTGTAAATAAATGATTGATGGATTGATTGATTCTAAACTTTGACATGCCGTATCCTACTCAACAACAATTAAAACTATTTGATTGAGTAGGATGGGCGACAATGACTCACGATATATCCAATATTGACTTAATGAGTACAAGCGTGATTTAAACAGTGAGTCGTGTCAAAACACTACACACTACGCATAGTACGCTTTCGTGTCACGTAAAGTAATTGTGGAGTCACCAAAGGGCAGTGAATTCTATAATATAGGTTTTAATTAGGATTTCTATAATTCACATGCAAATGAATCACCATGATCTTTCGTTGGCCGCGTTTCGCCCCGGCAAGTAAATTCGCGGAAGTCTTGCGTGAGTATCATGCAATATGGTTTACATTTCATATAAATTCCTGTAAATTATTCATGTAATCACTGAGAGAGAGACTCGCTGATCATACTGTTGGTACCTACTTATCGCAGAGGTATTTACACATGTTAACTAATGGATATCGCGAATACTTAGAAGACGCGCACGTCTAGCAGGTGCAATAATAATTTTGTTATAAGGAAAAAAAACTGCTTGGGTTTAACAAGGGAATGTTCGATTATATAAGTAGTTATCGGGACACTTCATTGTCGGTTCCAGAGAACTCTTGTTTACTTGAAAACTATCGCAAGTTGATGCAAACACGTTTAGACATGTTATTAATCGATTGCACGACAACCCCCCCCCCCCCCCCCCCCCCGTATATCCGAGGAGTAACGCTAGATCATAACAAAATCGACGAATCGAGAAAGAATTTGAGATATTCTTGAAATTCAGACTGAACGCGAAGATCCAATGGAAGAAAAGTGGCATGCTTACTACTTTGAGAGCACTCAGAGAAATAAAGATGCTAATAAAAGATTTTATAGCAGACCGAGGTAAAATGTTTTAGTAACACTTTTTAGGAGGGAAAATGTAGAAATTTCGCAGCCATTTGTTAATTACACTTTGACGTGCGGCATCATTCATAACATTTGGCGTCAGCAACCCGCTACAAAGTTCAATGTGATACAACTTTGTTCTGAGAATACGACATACGTGATAGTACCGCACCGACACAAACCGCGTTCTAACTTTATGTAATGTTAGTAATTATAAAATAAGTAAACACTGAAAGTACGAGACACGACAAGACATAGAGAGTGGTGGCTCTTCCTTTCAATTGTGGAATTTCAATTATTTATTTGACGGTTCTATAAATCTAGGTTTTGTTATTACAACATTGGGGTTCACGTTACATATAACTTATTGTAGTCATGTAACTAATCAGAAGTCGTAAAAGCATATTTGTATTACTTATTGAATTAAGTCGCGTAACTTTAAGCTAAAATCCTGTGTACTGTTTGTTTATCGTTGGCTCTTTATTCGCACGATGAAGTAAAAGGTTGTGGCATGGTTATCACCGTTTTCTATTGGACAAATCATATCATATTTGTGCTATTACTAAAGTGGGTACATAAAAAAAAAATATTTGTAATATTAGTTGACGTGCCTGGTATGCAGTTCATAACATATTTATCATTTTAGTAGGTTTATCGACCCTTCCAGGATGAAACGTCGTAAAAGCCATTTTACCCAAAATCTGTTTTTAACGGTTTCTTTATCAGAATCGCGAGCTCTATCGATCTGTATATTTAAAATGTTCAAATTCGCGAAAAAATGTCTTTTACAACACGCTCCAATTAATGCCCTAAACCCATTTTTCTTCTTGTAAATTGTCATAATGAGCAATTTTGGAAATACTTTTTTCAAATTTATGTAGTAAGAGACATATTTCTCATTCCACGGTCAATACAACATATATAATACAGTACTGGAAAATAATACTATTGAAAATTTTGTAGTAAAAGACACGATACTACTAACAATTTAGATGTAGACATACTAGGGACTTCGGAAAAGGCTTCGATTAATCACAGTTTTTTTTATTACAAGGAGTGAAAAAATAAAGGATGAAAGTTGATAGAAGAAACCAATATTCTATGTAAACGAAGTTCTGGACGTTACTTAGACGTAAATACGGCTCGTTGGCTTTAGTTGTGGGCCCCAAAATTCGTGTTTTCAATAGCAGTGTCGTGTTGAATTGTTTACCTAGGACAGTAGGTTCTTTCTCTCGTTGCCGAGCATGGTCGAGGCTATGCACAGTAGTGAGACGGCTTGGAAGGAGTCGCCTCTCTCTGTGATGACGTCATCTCAAAGTAGGAGGAGGCCGAGATGGGACAAGAGGACAATCCTCTGGCCGTCCCCTGCCACCGCAAAAGAACAGGCACGGGAAGGCGAAGGTGTGCCCTGGCTGCGCACGTGCAGTGACCCTATCTAATTGAATCGCTTGCTGCCCGGCATGGCGTTAGCCGTGCCAGCCACCGATGGATTCCGTGGCGTCAGCTATCTTTTGTACCTAACCTACATGAGAGGGCCGCGGAAGGCCCTGCGAGGGGAACTGCGCAGTCCTTCCGCAGCAGACGGGGAGCGGTGCGGTGGGCAATAGGCCGCGCACTTAGTTGCATTTACTTCACTAAATTAAACTTTATCCTTATTACAATTGTCTTTTAATTCAAAAATCCCTTTAATGAAACAATTTATGAAGTCTTATACAACTTCAAGGAAAAAAGATTACATTTGCCAAGCAGAAATAAAATGTCGTAGAAACCATTTACAACTTGTTTTTTTGTAGTAAAAGCCATGCCATCTCTGGAACTAATGAATGTAGGTTATTCCGAGTTTCTTATTAGTAAGCAACCCGAAAACCTAAGCTTAATGATTTATAGTGGTTTATTATAAATTAAGCAAATCAAAAAATATACGGGAAACAAACTTCACCATTTTTGTTTTTTGGCCGTATTGAAAAATATCGTTTTGGCTTTTACTACGTTTCATCTTGGAAGGGTCGTTATGTCGACGTACGTAAAGTATTTCTTACATAAAAGCTTTAGCTTAATTAATTACGCAATAAAACTTCAAATGTACTACAAAATTAACTATTCAAATTACTCTATGAAATTACCTTAGTTACTAATAGAACAAAAGCAATTTAACTTTTAAAAGATCTGTAGCGATTGTAATTCAAAACTTTTAAATTGAAATGTTCAGTAGATGTTTGATAAACATCTTTGTTTTCAACGTTAATATTATATTATTCAAATAAAAGGAAAATTTGATAAAATAATATGAAGAAAGCACACAGTTGCGATGGCGGCCGAAAGCAATGAAATTAGAGAAATACGTTATCTTGTAAAATGAACTTCGACGTCCTTATTTTAAAGATAATTTACATTTTTTCTCGTTCAGTAGACAACTTGATTAAATCATCAATTGGACATTATGAGAAAAGCATATAATTTATGAAGATCTGTTCAGAAGTTTGAGAATCATCAGAACATTTCCCATTTGAGAAAAGGGAAAATAAGTAAGAACTTATTTCACAGTAACTATAAATTTAAAACTTTTACTTAAGGTGATGATACAGCATCAAGTAGTCTGCAGGACACAAGTTGACACAACGCCTTAGCAACTCAGTGCAGAAGTTGTGTGGTTGGTGTCATAAGAATGATCTCAATGAATAAATTTATAATCGCAGCGCAAGAACAGGTTAAATTTTAACTAAATTGAATCTGTGAAAGTTTTTGCGTTTGTGGAAGTTAAATTATTCTTTGTAGTTCATTTTTTCATAGATCTCTTTTCATAATTATATGCTCAACTTACTAAACTAGAACGCAAAAAAAATGTCCAACTAATAAAATCACCTCAGGTGCTGAATACCTACAACATATCGTTATCATATGTTCTACATTAAAATATCGTTCAAAGCATATAACTCTATAACTCTTATAATCTTCTAGTATTATAAATGTGAAAGTTTGTATGTTTGTTACTCAATTACGCAGAAACTACTGAACAGATTTAAGAAAATTTGGTACGCATGTAGTTTATGACCTGGATTGAGACATAGGATATTTTTTCTCAAAAAGCTAAAATTCGCGGTCAAAGTCGCGGGCGACCGCTAGTGATAAATAAATTTCATCAGGTTTATGAGGATTTGATCACAGCTTTATTATAAATATAAATGTTGAACATTTGTGCGTAGTAACTATTAAGTAATCTGTAATTTAAGTGCCAAATGGTTGTTAGCCACGTATCTTCATGTAAACAACCTTTTTCAAAAGCAAGCTGCACAGAGCGATAAGAACGCGGACGTACAACGCGTACAAAAAAAGTTTGCTATTCTTCACTAGATAGCATTGTCTAGGGCCTAGGGTTTATGGGCCATAATTTATAATATGTCTGGGTGATAGTAGGTATACACAGTCAGGTCATAAGTATTGTCAAACAGTAAAAAGTTTTCTTTTAGAATGCTGGCCACAAAGAGTTTCTTGAATTCGAATTGCGAATTGTTCATGAAAATAAAAATGTATACTATTTAGAATTTTACTCATTTTTAAATATGGAGTGGACGCCTTAAGAAGACCATGTTGCAGTTATTGCGTTGCATCGTTGCGATTACGCGCCAATTCAAATTTTTGACTTACTGAAAAATTTGAATATAACCAAGAGATTCGTTTATCGTACCATCACACGATACAGTGAAGACTCTAGTGTAGATGACAGGTCAAGAAGTGGTCGCCCTCGGTCTGTTAGGACTCCAGCAGTGATAAAAGCTGTGAAGGCGCGAATTCAAAGAAATCCCAAACGTAAGCAGAAACTGTTGGCCCTTCAGATGGGGTTAAGCAGAACCACGGTAAAAAGGGTGTTAAATGAAGACTTAGGGCTTCGGGAATATCGAAAAAAAACAGGACATCGTTTGAATGCTCGTCTAATGGACCTGAGACTGAAGAGATGTCGCGCTTTATTGAAGCGGTACGCGGGAAAAAAATATCGGGAAATTCTTGTTTCGGATGAAAATTTTTTTACCGTAAAAGAGAGCCACGACAAACAAAATGATAAGGTGTACGCACACAGTAGTGAAGAAGCGAGCAACCGTATTCCGCGTGTCCAACGAGGTCATTTTCCATCCTCGCTCATGGAATGGTTGGGAGTTTCTTATTGGGGCTTAACAGAGGCACATTTTTGTGAGAAAGGTGTAAAAACGAATGCAGTTGTGTATCAAAATACAGTCCTGACGAACCTTGTGGAACCTGTTTCCCATATACTGTTCATTAACAGGCACTGGGTATTCCAATAAGATTCGGCGCCAGCTCATTGAGCGAAGAGCATACAAGACTGACTGGCGGCGCGTGAAATCGACTTCCTTCAGCACAAAGACTGGCCCTCCTCCAGTCCAGATTTGAGTCCGTTAGATTACAAGATATGGCAACACTTGGAGGAGAAGGCGTGCTCAAAGCCTCATCCCAATTTGGAGTCACTCAAGACATCTTTGATTAAGGCAGCCGCCGATATTGACATGGACCTCGTTCGTGCTGCGATAGACGACTGGCCGCGCAGATTGAGGGCCTGTATTCAAAATCACGGAGGTCATTTTGAATAAACTTTATTGTCATAAGAATCTATGTTTTGTTAAATTTATTTTGTTATATAAATGGTTACATAATGAATAAACTTGTTTCAATTATTTCATATTAAACACGTGACAGAATTTATGACCTGACTATGTATATATATAATTTTAAAGACGGGCTTTTATGGATATTGCATATTCGTTAATCAGAATCAATAATAAAAGTTTCACTCTTATTTAAAATTAAATTTATAAAAGTTATAGTTATATCTTCTTTCAAATATTTTATGCTTGTAAAATTATTTCTTTTAACATTGGGGTTTACTTACAATACGAAGAGATAGCGCTGAACGCTGCCTAAGAAAATTCGATGTAGACATGAAACGATCCACTCGTTTCATTCAATCACTTATTCAAGAAAAAAATCTTTAGATTTCGGTTATTATATTTTTGGGCATTGAACCATTATATTTATGAATCTAAAGAGAATATTTACTAGAAAAACATCCACTTGGCCCAGGACTCCAGGTTTCAAAACGGATCCTGATGAATGTCACACGAAAGAATAATAATGCTACTGTATACGTTAACACAACAATCGAAAATTTAGTCTTCAAATTAAACACCTGCAAAAATTAACTAGGTACTTAATGATCTTATAAAAATAAAACTTGTCTTATGAAATGTATCTTAAAATGTTCAAAAGAAAAACTATTGAATTTTTGTTTAACAGGCAAGCCCCCTGACTTCTTGGCCTTCTCGATAACTTTGCTGATGATGATGGTGCTAGTGGCCGGCGTGAAGAAGTCATTGTTCTTTAACAACGTGTTGAATGCCATCAACCTAAGCGTGTGGGTGTTCATCATGGCAGCTGGTCTATTCTACGTCAACATCCATAATTGGACCGACCACAAAGGATTCCTGCCTTACGGTTGGAGCGGGGTAAGTTATGAAAAAGTATTATCACACTATAGAAAGTAAATAGAAGGATGGGTCCTGTCAAATTTAAAATTCAGGCGTGAAAGGAATAACACTTATAAAAGTTGCTCATAGTTTTATTTATATTTAAAAATATTTATAGTCTTTATGGTTAGAATATAATATCTCCAGTAGCTAAGTTGATATCTCTTACTCCCTCACAAACATTATCTCCAGTGTAACCATGGGCACCACAGCAGAACAGCTTCTTCACAGTATAAACGATCTCACTACAATGATTGACAGTCGGATGACCGAGTTTGAAAAAAATCTTCAAGTACCTGGTTCAAAGGAATCCAACACTACAGTAAAATCCTTAGCTGCTGACTTTGCATCATTCAAGACATTTGTCTGGAAGACACTCTCCATACTAAAGTCACAGATTGAACTGCATAACCTACAAAAATATTAATTTTCAATAATTTTTTTCTCGAGTTCTATTCGTTTTCGCCTAAAAAGATTTCGTGTGCGTGTTTTTAATAGTTAATACTTTGCGTGACAAAAATTTCAGCTTGCAACTCAATGAGGGCTATCGCGTATGAATCCGCCGCTAGAGGCGCTAGTGTAACGTGAGGTCTCCGAACTGTCATATGTTATTGCTTGTGGGTTGACTACGCGGGTTTATTTCTAATTAAAATAATGTTGTGAATATTTGGTAATAACTCGGCATAATTATGGCAAATATGAGTTACGTGGCAACGAATGTCAGCTATTTAAAAGCGGAGCTAAGAAAAAATAGTATGTACTCCTTTTTTCCGAACAAAACGAAACTGCGCATCACTGTGGATTATGTTTCGGATACGGTTCTTTTGTATTAAAATATGATTTAAATGTTAACTTTGATTTCACGTGCGTATTAATAAACTTTAAAAGTTTCAATTCTGGACCTCACTCAACAGTGGCGCCATCTGGTGAGACAGAAAACGGTAGCCCTCATTACATATAATGGAAAGCTGAACCTGAGTTCTGAAGCTATTGACTCTTGTCATCGGCTTGGCACAAATAAAAAGGGTTCAAATCGTCCAGTCCTAGTTCGCTTTATTTCAATGAAGCAACGCATGATGGTGTGGAACAGTAAAACCAAGCTAAAGGATTCTAATATATCAGTATCCGAGTTCCTTACTAAGATGAGACAAGAACTTTTTGTGGCAGCTCGTAAACACTTTGGTAGGAAGAAATGCTGGTCAACTGAAGGCGTTATTTCTGTTCTGTTGGCGGACGGTGTGCGTAAGAAAATCTTCTCTAGCAATGATCTCCAACAATTGATACTCAGGCATCCAAATCAATCAGAGGAAGTGATTCAAGAAAGTGTCAAGTAACATTTCGGTTTGCCTGCCCTCTATTTCTTTCTCGGACTTTAACATTGACACATTTGACCGAACGGTGAGGTATGTCGATTATTGTAATTCAATTACTAGCTTCACTTCGTGCGAGCTATTTTGGTCGCAAATGAACATTAATTATTAAATATAATTAATTTTCATTTGCGACCTTTATAAATAAATTTCAAAGTTTGTAATCGGCATAAACCTATTGTTAATGTATTAATTTTGTTTTCTGTAGCTGTTTTGCCTTGAAATGTGTCCGGAAATAGTTCTTCAAGTCAACTTGGGCTTACGGAGGTTTTCTAAATAAATTGTCTTTTTTTATTACTGTTATTTTATTTTTTATTATTTTTTTTGTTATTATATATATATATATATATATATATATATATATATATATATATATATATATATATATATATATATATATATATATAGGTTTTCTAAATAAATTGTCTTTTTTTATTACTGTTATTTTATTTTTTATTATTTTTTTTGTTATTATTATATTATCTTTATATATGTTAGTGAATGATGAATATTTTTCTTGTTCGTCTGACGAATATGAAAGTGCAGATAGTAATGATTCTTTGCTTTTTGATTCAAAACCTTTGCCTTACAAATTGTTAGAAACTCTTGGTAAAAATCCCAATTTTCTTTCCCTTGTGCATATCAACGCCCTGAGTATTCCATCCCATTATAATGATCTTCTTACTTCCTTTGACAATGGCGTAGTTGACGGTATACTTATTTCGGAAACTTGGTTAAAGCCTTCCCTTTCTAGTACATGTTTCTCTATCCCGGGCTATAAGCTATTTCGCAATGATCGCACTGGTCTAGGGGGCGGTGGCGTAGGTATTTATCTACGTAATCATATTCCTGTCAAAGTTATCATGCATTCTCCATCATATTACACCGGCGCCATCGAATATTTATTTGTTGAAATTATTATACGTCATACGAAGATTCTCCTAGGGACCCTTTATAGTCCAAACGATCAGGTGGATTATTTTAACTCTCTTGAGAGTGCGCTTGAGGATGTAGTGCCTGTTTACGACCAGATCATCTTGATGGATGATCTTAACACTTGTCTTTTAAAAAATGATACTAGAGTTGGTAAGCTTAATAGTCTGTTATCTTCTCTCAATCTCCATATTCTTCAAAAGTCGTCTCCAACTCATTATTTCCCAAACTCTAAACTATCTCTTCTTGATCTTGTTATTGTTTCTAACCCTGACTTAGTTGGTGCTCATGGACAAATGACAGCACCCTTTTCTTATCATGACCTCATCTTTCTATCTCACAAAGTACGTGTTCCCAAAGCCAAACCTAGAGTTCGTTTTCTGCGCAATTTTAAGCAAATGGATCTTGAACGCTTGAGGGTTGAAATGAGAAATATAGATTGGTCTCCGGTTCTACTTGCTCACAATATAGATGTGATGGTGGAATATTTTACTAGTACTCTGACGAAAGTGTACGATATTTATGCTCCAGTGCGACCAGTTCGCCTTAAACACATTCCCGCCCCTTGGTTGACTCCAGCCATTCGCAGAGTCATGGCAAAGCGTGACAAGGCTAAAAGCCGTCAAAAACTTTCGCCGTCCATTGAGAACTTGCAAGCTTACAAGAAGTTGCGCAATCTTTGCAATAGGATGTGCAGGGATGCTAAGCGCAAGTATATTCATGATCAAATGAGGGTTCGGACCAGAGGCAGATCTGGAGTTTCTTAAGATCATTGGGAGTTGGTAAGCCAACGGACACAAGTCAGAATGTCATAGATCTCAATTCCCTGAATAAACACTTTTCTTCACCACCTTTGACTCTAGATAATGTTTCTAAGTCTAACACCCTCTCCTTATTGTCTAATCTTAATCAACCTCAAAGTAATAATCATCCCTCGTTTTCTTTCAACTCAGTTTCAGAAGGACGTGACAAAAAGTATTAAATCTATCTCCACCAAAGCCATTGGTAGTGATGGTCTTAGTCTAGATATGCTTCTTCCAGTGCTGGAGTACATTGTTCCCGTTATCACACACATAATTAATTATTCGTTGGAAAACAATGTCTTTCCGGCATCATGGAAGAAAGCTCATGTCATTCCCATTCCAAAAACTCCTAATCCATCTTCACTCTCCCAGTTTCGGCCTATTTCTATTCTTCCCTTACTCTCTAAGGTTTTAGAATCTGTAGCCCACAGACAGCTGTATTTCTTTCTCGTATCTAGTTCCTTATTATGTCCTTACCAATCCGGTTTCCGCCCATCTCACGGCACAGTTGGTGCGCTGCTCAACATAAATGAGGACATTCGCTCTGCTATGGACAGCACCAAACTAACAGCTATCGTATTATTAGATCTAAGCAGCGCATTTGACTGTGTCGACTTCGACCTCTTACTCGCTACTTTAAGTTACTTCGGCGTGTGCTCCTCTGTGATTGGATGGTTCCGTTCATATCTTTTCAATCGAATGCAGCGTGTCCAATTAAATGACGAATTCTCTGATTGGTCGAATGTATCAGCTGGTGTACCTCAAGGAGGTGTTCTCTCACCTTTATTATTTTCGTTATTTATCAACAATATTTCTCGTGTCCTTTCTTGCCCTTTTCACCTTTACGCTGATGACCTGCAAATTTATAAAGATTTTGCCTTAACTGAAATGATTGCCATTACTTTTTTAAATAGGAATCTAACATCTATTCAAAACTGTACTGCTTCATTTGGTCTCTTAGTTAACCCGAATAAGTGTCAAGCTATGATTGTCGGTAGTAGCAGGATTAGATACAAATTAGATTGGAACTTGATACCTCCCATTAAATATAACGACGTGCCTATACCTTACACCGATAAAGTGAAAAACCTGGGCTTAATTATAGATAGCACAATGTCATGGTCCCCACATATTAGTGAAGTCAGTAAACGTATTCACAACTCATTTCACTCCCACAAGCAGCTTCAATATTTTCTTCCCTTCAAAACCAAAATTATGCTGGCGCAATCACTCCTTCTCCCCATTCTCGACTACGCCGATTTTTGCTACTTGGATGTAACTGAAGATCAATTGAATAAGCTAGAGCGTCTCCAAAATCTTGCAATCCTTTTCATATTCGGATTGCGTAAATATGACCGAGTTTCTGCTTTTCGCTCTCAATTGAAATGGCTTCCCATTCGTCTTCGACGTGATATGCATATCCTATCATTCTTGTTTAAAATACTCAAAGATCCTAGTTCTCCTCATTACCTTGTTTCTCGTTTCAAAACGCTTCCTCCCCCTTCTCGTCCTAAAAGGTCTTGCAACACGAAGACACTTGAACTACCAAAAAGTAATACCAACTTCTTTTTTCATTCCTTTTCTGTTCGTGCTGCTTTACTCTGGAACAGACTTCCCTCTAGTATTCAAGACTGTCCTTCTATTGTCTCTTTTAAAGCAAAGGTCAAAGAGCACTTTCTGGAAATAAATTCACACTCTTAGTTGTCTATTTATTATTTTATAGTGTATGTATGTGTATATATATATATATATATATATATATATATATGTATGTATTTATTGTAAGTATTTGTGTATGTATGTATATAACATATGAATATATATTTATGTGATAGGTATATAATCTGCAAGTAAGTACTAAGTGCACATGACTACACCCGCTTACTTATTTCTCTCACTAAACCTTGGTTGGCTGGAAGAGATCTCTCTTAGAGATAAGCCCTCCTTTGCTCACATATTTATATTTTGTATCTTACAATTTTTGTGTGCAATAAAGAGTATAATAAATTTAGGTACTTGTGCCACCACCGACGATGAACGATGAACCGCAAGCTTGTGTGTAGTTCCGATAGTTTTGTCGCTGGTTAATAA